GCCCAATGGAAAGAATATCTCCGAATGCTCCAGCTGCGTTTTTCTAGGACAAGTCAGCAAGATAAATAATTTAGCTCCGGAGCTGCAAAAAAAGCAGCCAAACGATTTCTCAAAAGCACTGAAGCTCTGGTGAAGAAGACTAAGACTCCTCAACTCTGTGCTCGCCTCTTCGAGCCCATGATTATTCCTTTCTTAACGTACGCGTCGGAAAGTTGACCGCTGCGTAGGCACGATGAATGACCACTCAGCGTTATCGAAAGTGCAGTCGAGAGGACGATGCTAGGAGTATCTCGAATCATGGAAAAGAGAGAGGGGATCCGTTGCTCCGTATTACGTCAGCGTTCGAAAATCACAGACGCCTTTTTTTACGCGACCCGTCTTTCACACCTATTGCCTGGATTCCAGCATTTTTTGCATTCGATTTGTTTCCTTTCATCCATCATCCACGAAGGACTTTCAAGTGTTTGCATATAGGTTCTGCTGACCATTTATCCTTCGTCATGGATGCCGTCGAATGATGATCGAGCCGATTCTCTCCGAGTCCTGAGATAGCCGGTCTTCAGCGTTCCCACTTGGATTGCAGAAAGTGAACTTTTCCCAGACAGGTCCGGTGCCAATTTCCTGACCCCGGATGGTTGAAAGGCTTGGTTGGCCCAGAGCAGAATCGAACTAGCACCATGCTCGTGATGACGGACATCGCTATCCGCCCTCTGATAAATATTAATACACAATTTTAATTGCAGTAGTAACACTCACTGCTCTGTTAAAATGTTTATTATGTGCCTGGAAAGGTGAGAGGCTTGATGAGTTCGAAATGAGATCGAGCGAGAACCGTGCTCGTGATGATCAGCATCACTGCCACTTCGTGTCCGCTCCTTGAAGACGTCTTTTTAAAGTCTAAAGTGTCGAAAACCAGGTAAACCGCACACGTAATGCGCGAGAACTGCAGCTGATGGACAGGGGTCCGTTAGTGACTGGATTCCTCGGGGTGTCAAACGTACTGCAGAAAGATCACCGACCCGATGGTCAGAGTTCTTCACGAAGAGCCTACAAGAAATATATGATGCTCGGCTAGTCCCTATAGAGAGCAGAACTCACCGGGCTACTCTTGCGCGCTAAAGGTACAAATGGAATATTTACTGACGCCCGCTCGAGTATTAACTCGACGATTAACGGGACGACAGCTGATATTCGTTGGCAAATAAATGCACAAGCAATAATCATCTTGTTGTTCATTCAGTATTTTCGTCTGTCAATAAGCGTTTTCGTTATGGTGACCAGGTGCCTGCAGAATATTTATTTATTAGATATCACTTTTCGCTGCTGAGCAATCGTCGTCACCGGTTTCGATGTGAGTGCGTGTCTCCGTGAAGATAGTAACCCCAATAGAGGATGTTGAACGCCAGAAAAGACTGAAAAACATCCTTTATGCTTTTTTCGTGTTTATGACTACTTTTTGAGAGACACTATTAACAAATTTCCTCTTAAGGCGAAGTGGGGTAAATATCGATATGTTGGTAATGTAATTGAAAAAAGTAAAACGGTAAAAAAAGTTCTCAGCGTTGATCAATCCCTGAGGGATGAGCCATACATTCGACTTCTTGAATCATCGTTTGGAGGTGATTGAATGCATATCCGGCCTTTACAATGACTCGCCATGGCCTACTGATGTATCGAGCCAGTGCTCCTATCCTCCTAGACAAGTCTGGTACTAATGTGCCGACCCCGGAGGGATGGAAGGCTTGGTGAGCCACCGACGCGGACATCGATCCCATGTATGTGCTGCAAGGGCCTCCGACCACTGCACCACACGCGCCGCTATTGGAAAAAGTAGGTAGCTATTATTAATATTAAGGATAATTTGGTCGAATTCGGGTAAAACATGATGAATTTGTAGACCTTTCAAAATCGTTACGAAATGCTAGACTTTTTGTGCCTCCAGACTATTTGAACTGTGAAAAAATATTGTTGAAAAACAAAAGAAATAAAAGAAAAGAGTTTTTAATTATAGAAGAAATCTCTCTCTTTGACATAATGGCCAGCTTTTAAGTCCATCATAATTTACGTTCCTTTTATCCCTGTTAATATACAACATAAATAAAGGCCTGCAAAACTAGGAAAAACTAAGTAACTTATGCAACGAAAACGCCGAGAGATTTGCAAAAGTTAGAGCACAGCCAGCCCAGAACAGGACACGCTGATACGCTTTCTAGTTCTCACGTGTTACCCACTACACCGCTAGATCCCTTGCTTTGCGTTTGCAAGGGTAGGTTATAATTGCAAAATCGAGAAGTAGCAAAAATAGTAGAGAAAAGTGATTCACGAAAAACAAATCGATGAAAGATCTGACCATGGGAAAGGCAAAGAACGAGATGCGGTCGACGCGGTTGCCGAACTCGAACAGGCGCTGCTTCTTCTTCAGATAGTTGTTGCGCCGCCGGGACGCCATCTCGCGCTCGAATGACGTCTGTTCCGTGGAGAACTTATCCGAATTCGACGACATCGTCTGCAACGGACGGTTTGTGCGCTGTTACCTCTTCGCGTTTTGTAATAGGAAGTAAATAGATTATCGATGCAAAGAATTTGGGAGACAAATGAGAGTTGTCCGAGTGATTTCGACCCTTGTAACTAACGACTACATACATAATGCTGCTATAACATTTAACACTCAAGGTCTGACGCAAAGTTTTCTTTGAATGTTCTACGAATTGAAGTCATACCACGTTAGCCGACCTAACCCCTACGCCCTAGGTACGAACCATATTCAATAACAACAGCTACTTCGTCGGTACAGTACACAGACAAGTGCTGCCACAGTTATACGGGATGCTGAGACATCTTAATATTTTCCATATCTGTTGTACTCCCACTATCCCTACACCCTTATCCCCGACAACGATGTTTCTGACGAACACACTCGTTCGAAAAAACGGTTTTTGGGCATTTCTAAATATAAAGAATAGATTTTGGAGCAAAGTATGCTACAATAACCCTGTAGGATATAGCTTTTGTACCTTCTTTCCTATGCACAACACAAAAAGTATAGGAAGAAACTCTGTGTACCAAAATTAACGCTGAGAAAGCAAACGAGCAGTTTTTAATCCTTTGTGGCTGGTGATCAAACCCTCGCTTACGGATGGAAATCAGCTAACGTCGGACCTTAAGTGTTAACTGTGAATAGTGAACGGCATAGAAAGGAAACGAAAAAGTGAACAGTCAAAAAAATGCCAAAATTGTAAATTTCCATAATTTTCTTGAGAAAGACACTATGCTAACAGTGGTTGTACTTTACATAACACCCTGCCGTAAAAAAAATAATGAGCAGTTGATAAAAGTCATACATTGTACTAACAATATTAACAATGGCCATGATGGTCACTGAAATCCACACTGACTCAACAACAACAATGACAATGAAAACAGACTGCACTGGGTATAGAACCATCTAGAAAATCGTACGTCGTCGTCATTCGGGCCGTCGGGTCGTTGCTGCCACTGCGCTTCGACCACCTCGACACCGCGTTCGGCAAACGGCATCACGTTCCGCATGAAAGAGGCGACAACCTGCATCGTGTTACTCGACCGGCTCGACTTCAGTAGTAATTTTTTGTCCTAAAACAGTACGGTACAATTTTGATGCTGTGCTAAGAATTTTAACTTATTATTTACTGCCTACTCCTTTTTGTTCTTTTTAACGGCAGGGTATATATTGCAAAATATAACTTTAATGATGTTGAGATATTTGCAAAACTCCGGACCGCAGATGTCTGCGGTGAGGAACGAACGCGCTATTGCCCTTTCAGGAGAGTAACGCGCTCACCACCACACCATGCCGGTCCTTCGTTTCGCCTGATAGATGGCGCTGGTAGGTAGAACTAGCTGAGAGACAGGCGAAACGAAGCACCCGCATGGTGTGGTGGTGAGCTCTTTACTCCCCTGAAAGAACAATAGCTGTGCCAAGACTTGATTTGACGTCGTGTTTTAGAACACCATTTAGAGGATGATCGCGTCCCTGTCTACCGTATATTCAATGAGTTCTAATTCTTCTTCCGTTACTTTATATTTATTTATTCCGTAATACTGGTTTAAGTGGATGCCCGTGACATGGCCCACCAAGCTTTCTAGCCCTCTGAGGTCGACAAATTGGTACCAGACTTGTCTGGGTGGAGAGGATAGCAGCGCTGGTTCGATGCATCTGTAGGCCACGGCCAGCCATTGTAAAGGACAGATGTACAATCAATCACCTCCAAAGATACTTAATGAAGTCAAATCCATGGCACATCCCTCAGAGATCGATCAATGCACACAGCTTTATCCTTTATCCTTTACTGGTTTGAAAAGAGGAAAATTCTTTCACATCCAAACCAAACATCACCATCTATTTAACTACAGTCAATATTTTCATCGATACCGTTCTGTAATAGAGTGAAATCTAACTAACAAAATAAAAAACCGAAAAACGCGCTTAATTATAATTTCCTAGCAGATAATTCGACACCTCCCTACGGTTTATCGCTTCATCGTGACTAGGAGGTGTTCTTGGGTGTCGAGCTGCGATGTAAAGCTGGAAGATTTGCCCTCCCGGCAGGGTCTCCCAAGCAGAGAAAGAGTCCGGCGTTTCCTAAGCCCACTTAAGAGCAAACCAATATCAGCATCAGCCACCGTCCTGGTATCAAAGTCCCATGGTGGCAAACCTCCCTCTGATCCACAAAGGCTGCGATTGCCTGTTGTGGTGAAGACCTGGGGCAGACTTTGGCCAGGCTGACCTCGGGATTCCAGGGAACCACATTGGCTTAACCAGCAAGTCTCCGAAAAATAGTGATTATGCTGGGGCCCGCGCAACCATTGAGGACGGGCCATTCAAGTATCAAGTACCAAGTAATTCGACAACGAATTTGTTGACTTGTATAATAAGTGAAGTACCGGATTCGACTTCCGCGAGTTGAGACTTTTCCAGATAAAAAACCACAAACTCGGTTGAAAACACAAGAGAAAAACAGCTACACAACAGTTAGCATTCCTACCTGGTAGGCAACGAAGGCCAATTCGAGCAGTGATGCGAAAATGAAGGCAACGCAAGTGAACATCCAGATGTCGATCGCTTTGATGTAGGACACCGGCGGCAATGACCGAATAATATTGCCAAACTAAAGAGAAGGAAATGAAGAAAGCAGGAACGACATCTTCGACTGAGAAAAAAACGATTTCCAAATAATCACCTGTCACCTGTATCACCTCTAGTCTTGTTAATCATCGAGTGACTCGAGCAGGCGCCAGCAAATCTTCCACTTTTCCCTGTTGCGTGCAAGAGTAACCTAGTGGGTTCCGCTCGCTCTGAGGACTCGTTGGGCATTATATCTTTCTTTTAGGTTCTTCCTGAATAACTCTGATAATCGGGTCGGTAGCAGCCCTGCAGTGTGTTTAACATCTCAAGGAAACCAGTCATTAACGGCTTTTGCCCATCGGTTGTCGTTCATACACATAACGTGCTCAGCCCACTTTATCTTCGTCTGTTTAGCATATGGAATAACACCTTCGATTTATGATCGCTGACGCGGCTCAGAGCTTCGATATCCCTTACTTCTGTGACACGGAACACTCCTAGCATCGTCTTTTCGATTGCTCCATCAACAACGCTAAATGATCTTCCTTTCATCCTGTTTACGCAGCGACCAGGTTTCTGACGCATACGTTAGGACAAGAAGTACCGTTGAGTCGAAAAGGTGGGCACCGAGTCGGGTGTTCTTTGTTCTCCTCATTACTTCCTCAATGCTCTTGAAAGCTCCCCAAGCCCCTCATTTCCTTCTGCTCAACTCTGGAGCTAAGTCGTTCATCATATTGATTTCCCGACCTAAATAGATATAACTGGAGCATTCGGTGATATTCTTTCCGTTTAGCGTGAATGGGGCATAAGAAACCAATCCCTTCCACATGCACATCGTTTTTGCGAGATCTAGTCGAAGACCAATACTTTATCAAAGCCGACAAGCATTCAATCCGCTTGGCTAGTGTTTGCTGTTATAAGGACGGTGTAATCAGTAAAGCGAAGATGGTGTAATTGCCTACCATCGATTTCCACACCAATGTTATCCCATTCCAAAGTTCGGATGGCGTTCTCGATGGTGGCGGTAAACAACTTTGTCGAGATGGTATCGCCTTGCCTAGCCCCTCTTCATACGTCGATGCTAACATCGTTGAAAAATGGTGATATGTCAGTTGTGAAATTTTTGTGCAGCTCACGAAGAATCTTTATGTACTGAGTAGGAAATCCTTGACTATCAAGAGCTTCATTGACTGCTTCTATCTCAAAGGAGTCAAAAGCCTTCTTCAAATCGATGAAAGTGAGACTGAGCGGTCATTTGTACCCTCTCGAAACTCTAGTGATCCTTGTTATCGTCCGGACATGGTCCTTGTCCATCATATTGAATCCATTTCGAAACTCGATTTGCTCACATGGCTGCCCTTCGTGCAGTGTTCTGTCAGTCCTGCTTAGGACGACTTGAGTGAAGAGTTCGAGGACTGTAGACAGTAAGCAGATTAGGCGATAGTTGCCGATAAGGTTGAAGTTTTCGTTCTTGAACAACAACACGATCTTGTTGGTTTCTCACTGAATACGAACATTGTATTTTGACAGGTGACGTGTGAAAACCCAACCCCATGTGTTTATGAGGACTAGCGGAAGGTTCTTTAGGTGTTCAGATCACCACATCTCCGCGGACCTGCTGTTGTTCAATTCTTCAGCAACGAAATAACATGTCGGATTTCGGAAAGGAGAACAAGTGATACGACATACCCATCGTCCTTTACTTCATATGAGGGAAGGAGAAAGTGGTTATTGAAAAAAAATATTAATGAATGATTTTCTTCATCGCCTTTCTGGACGCTGTAACTGTTTCGTCTGGGCGTCGGTGAGCAATCACTTTGGTCTTGTAATTGGCGAGGCTTCGGTGGGCTTTGCGAATGATTTTCCCAACCTCTGCAGCTTCATCCATTACTGCTCCTCTTCTCTCTTTAAGATCTACTTTTATCGCCTGTCTGCATCGTTTTGCAAGCTCGGACGTTAGTTCGCGGTTGCGTGCAGCCCATGTGATTCCACGTTGGCGTATCAGCTCGAGTGTTTCTAAGAACAGATGTCTCTTGGTGATTCTTCGACCTCCCAGTTTTCCTAGCGCAAACGTGAAGATGTTGAATGAGAACATATTCCTCGTCGATGTTATCGACAACGGCATCTTCCCAACAGTCGACTAGCGAAACGAATAAGTTCCAGTTTACAGTGGTTTTGGGACTTCGTTTTTTGAATTTGGCGACTTTTTCTCCTTTCCGCGAAAAATGGAATCTTGCACGAAGGAGGCTGTGGTCTGATCCCCCGTTTAATTTTGGGATAATAGTGGCATTGGTAAGGCAGAGCCTCCTATTTGCTATGATGTGGTCTATTTCGTTATGGCACTTTCCATTGGGAGACTCTCGCGTCCAGCGTTGAGGATACGGCTTCTGAAATTATAAGTTACCGTGGATGGTCTTGGTCGTCATGATAAACTAGAACAGCCGCTCACGCTGCTCATTCCATTCTAATCTGTGGATCTCAATGTGACGTTCTTCAGACGTTCTTCTTGGTCCAGTCTTGGCGTTGAAATCTCCAGCGATGACCATGAAGAATGTGTAGTCTTCTCTGCAGAACTTCTCCAAATCCATATAGGACGTTTCGCCTTCTTCTTCATTATAGTTTGATGTCTGCGCGTAAACGATGAAGTTTATAAAAGTTGGCATTGATCCACATCTCTTCAAGTGTACACGTCAGATTTGGGTTGTTAGTTGCTCGTATGAGTCGATGTTGACGGCCAAACTCGTGTTGACGAGAACACCGACGTTACCTATTCCTCTACTGTCGCATGTTCCGAGGAGCAGTTCGTCTCCGGTGTCATAGACGGCGTTGAAAGGCTGGCGTCTCCTCGTCTCGACCAGGCCGATGACGTCGTACCTTATCCTTCTTGCTTGCATGAGCAAGTCTTCTATCGAGGATTCGGTTGCAGGTGTACGTGCATTGTAGGTACAGATCGTCACCTTAGTTTTCTGTAATCCAGGTAGCTTACATTGGCCCTGAGATTTTAGCAGCCTCTCCATACTCGTCCTTCCCAACGGTGCCGAATAGGGATCTCTTTCGTGATCGGGGAAATGAGGCCCGTTTTTTTTACTGTGTTTAGCATTTTTGATACCCACATATAGCTTGCTAGGTGAACGTGGGGGTTGGGTATGGTCACGGGTAGCTTGCCAGGCCCTCCCAGATTATACATGGAGCTTATTTGTTGGAGGCGAGTCCTAACCGCCTCCCATATATTTCCGTCACTTGATTGCAGGTTTTTGGCCGAGTTGCCTAGCAGAATACAATCCTCAGAAGCGAGAACGCACCCACGCACTCAAGGATGAATGTGCTTGCTAAATATAGAAAGTGTTTGTCAAATCGGCGCAGCAGAAACAGAGAGTTCTTTCCCTGGATACACCTGCGTCCCAGGGGTTAATTCCAAATTGTGAAAATAATTATTCTGCATTTGAGTGGACGCATTTAGTGCAGTGAATGTCTGTGTGTGCACAAAGTCCTATTTGAATCCAAGTGCACCTTAACACCAAACAAGTCCTTTGCACTTCCAGAATCGGCCAACGGATCAAACTCTTCAGCAGCAGCAGCAGTGACTTATGGTCACGGTGAGAGAACGCCGTAGCATGGCTGACCCGGAATTCCAGACAGAATTTTCTCGACGAGCATTTAACGAAATGCATGAAGAAAACGAAGTCATCAAATGGGACCCGTACTCATACGCAAATCGGAACACCGTAAATAACGAATTCAAGGCACAGAAACAAATTTACTGTGCTGGAGAGCTGCACAACATGTAATATCGCATAAATATGTGAAAAATGAAGTCAAATAAACACTATATGCTTCAAAAAAAATCAAAGAATGCTTGAGCAACCTTACTTGGAACGTTAGCGACATTAGCGAGTTTACTCCTAATACGATTCGAGCCGGTAATGCTTTAGTGTCAATGCAGAACGCAAACCAAGAAATGAAGACCGAGATATATGTAGGGAAGTACATCTAAACATTATGAGTGAATAACTGAATACAGTTGACCAGATAGCCACACTAATTTCTTAATATACCAACAAATTTTGCCTGCACTAGGTAGAAAAAGGAAAACAACTGGGTTGTTGTGTACAAGCTTGAAGCATTAGGTTTAGCTTTATGCCGGACAATATGGCAACCACGCTTATAGGCTGAGAGCCTTGCATGATGAACTGTTAAAAGTTTTAGTTGCAGCAGCAAACTCTGTACAGATTAGATCACGGTACAATACTCGCATACGTCAGCATAGTCGAAGTAAGCAATCACCGTGGAAGACGACTGCGAAGTTAAAGAAAATGCGCTCGACCTCGTACCACTCGTGACGACGAGCTGTCCCACCATCCAAGTTAGCGATTAGCGGAAATCATGTATTAAAATGAGATTGAAAATTATATGTAATTTCAATCTCAATTGCTTCTAATGTAGCTTAGGTGGGAAAGAAAACAGAGAACAAGTAAGAAACAAAGAAAAAAAAAAACGAAGACAAAAACGTACACAATGAAAAACCTAATATATACGAGATAAACAAAATAAACACCTGCAAAATGTAGAATTCATATCTGCGTTTGAATTTGAATTCGACTGTAAGCCGATACCATTCGCCGGCCTTGTATGCCTTAAATTCTATTGTAGAATACAAGTGAAAAATATAAATGTTCTAATAAGTAAATAAAAAAATTGACGACGGCGTGATTTGTACCATGGCTTCAGCTTAACCGGGTGCATGTCAATTTGTGCTCCCCAGATCAATCCCGTTGACGGGTGATTGCTGATAGCGCCTATAGATCAATAACAGTGCTGAGAGGCTGGCGAAACGAAAGACTCGCATGGTGTGGTTGTGGGCGCGTTCGCCACGGAAAAGGTAATAGCGCGCTCACTCCCAACCGAGGACACCAGAGTTTCAGTGTTCTGCAAATATCTCAGGAACATTATGATTATAAGTGCTCTTTTATTAAGTATATCCCCATAGAAACGAGTAAGAACAAGCAATATTTAGAAAATGTACAGTAACTCCCACGTCCGACTTTCTATTAACCTCAGCATTAATTGAACAATTCTTTCCACTTCTGTTTAGAAGTGGAAAAACAGAAGTGGAAAAAAATGTACAGTGTTTTAAATTTTTTACCCATAATTTCATAAAAACGAAACAATTTTTAGTGAAAAGAGTAACTTCCAATTTACGTCCGCCTGGAGAGTGAAGCTCTACGTAGAGCATGAGAATGCACATCTTGACTTTGTTACGCGTTGAAACTACAATGTATTGTTGGGGTTCATACTCCCCACCCCCAATCGGACATAGTACCCTAGGAGTTCGAGATCACAGTGAAGACCGTTGTTAATCAGTCAGAGAAAACAGCATAGAGGATTAGGTTCGGCAATGTCAAGAAAATCTCGAAGAATTTAGTGTTGCTTTTACGGTCATCGATATGACACACCCGGACATTATGACCCGATTCAATTATCCTATAGCCTTGTATGGAACAATTGATTGTAGAAAAAAAACCTATGAAATGGCCAATCAAAATAGTTTTTCGTAAGAAGATATCGACTCTGTGCCGGAATAACGAGCACCTAGTACAGTTGAATTCAGTACCTCGTCAATACCTCAGAGCTAACCTCAATATGCTTGTAAGTGCGGAAACCGGACAAGTCGAAATCGGGCAAACTGATGTCGTCGAGTATCGTGATCGGAGTCGGCATCCAGTTGATGCTGACCGTCGCCGTGTTGTACGAATAACTCTCGAACACCTTGAGTAATCGATTTCTGATTATCACCGTTTTTGTGGGTACGAATAGATTATTGGAAGCTTTATAAGTATAGAACATTGGAAGACAAAAATTTCACAAAATGTTTAAACCGCGCGTTCTCATATTCCGTGCTGGCCCCAGCATCTCTTCCATTTCGCATCGTTGTCTTGCCATCATCGTCTATGGAGACGACCCTAGTTTTTTGGTTTGTCCAGCCTCGGTTCGATGATCTACCGTCTGCAGTTCCTAATTAACGGTTGTAATTATGGTTTAACATCGAATCTGAAGAACGTAGTAAGACGCTGTCTGGGTGACCGTAGTCATACGGGTCGAAGCGGGGTTCGCTGCCTTGGAACTACGACCCTTTCAGGATAGCAGCGATTGCAATGGGTCGGCCATGTGCTCGAGTGCAATTTTGTAGTCATTCAGCGAAATTCAAAAAATGCATGTAGAAGCTGATATATTCCACTGAAATAAAATGTTCAAAAACAAAGATCACATGTTCTTACCCATTCCCTTTCAGAGTTTAGACGTTCAGCACTCAGTTTTGTTTTTTCGATTCATTGTACGTGCCCGGTATTTACATTTACTGTGCTAACCCTAGCACTCCCAGCATCCGATTAGTTTCCTTGCATCTCTCGTCCCTAGAGGTCTTCGAACTTCTTGTGTGTAGATTAAGCTGCTGTTTAAGGAATTTTCTCATCTTCACTAGGAATGCTGTTTAGTGCTGGTCAAGTCCATTCGTCGTGAAGTCTTGGGATAGTCGTGCAAAGGCGTTTCCACGCAGATTGGAGACAATTAGCTGGTCTCAGACAAGCTTGGTCCCGAACTCCTTAACCCAACGGGATGGGGGACATGGTGAACCCATGAGAGAGACAAACCTGCACCGTGTTTATGATGAACTGCGTATAAACGCGAACCGAGCTACGCAATAGTCGTTGGAAAAATCGATACTAGAAAAGTGTTTTGTAATAGACATGGAACTATAATATTTAAGGAAACGTATGGGTAGTAACAGCTCTAATAATGAGATATAATCGGTCAGCATATGTGCTTGCTTACCAGTGAGCACAACTGTTCGTCGATCGGAAATCGTTCGAGATTCATCGAACAAGGCGACTCCACTTTCACCTACAAACCGTTTTCTTTCGAAATCGATGAGGTCATCTCCCTGCTAATTTGTATCAAATGTAAAGTGTTATATTCCGTGTGAAATTGTGTAAGTGTGTGAAATTTGACCTAACGGTGACTTTTGGCTAACAGTGGATTGAAAACGTGGTTCTATTCTCTTAAGCCGAACCTGAACTGGTCTGTGTTGGTGACGACGAATTCTTGCTGTAATTTGCTTACATTATACCTATGTAATAACTAGGTTCTTTGAAGGAAATGGTGGATTATTGGATGAAGTCAGCAATATGTCGGATTTCAAAAGAAAAACAGCCGTTTACACGAGAGCTCCTTCACTGTTCAAACGAACCCTGTAGTTGAGCCAAATTGTGCCGTTTGGCATCAACATGAGCAACACGTTCGGCTTCGGTGAATTGTGGACCGTTGTCGATTTCGTGTTGACAATGCACACATTAGGAGACCATAACATCTGAATTTCTATTACAGTAGAAAAACATCACACACAGTAAGATATAATATTATGGTGATACATAACAAAAATGTTCTTCTACTGAGAAAAAACCGATTTCGACTTGAAAGCTACCAAACTCTTCATATCTATGTAGATGTGACAGATCATTATCATGCTTACGACGATGCTGAATTTTCAATCGTGGTCGGGAGAGGCGCCAAATACTTCGTGATGGAACGTATGGCACCCAGATCTACACATTTCACTCAGTTAGCTACCACTACTGATGCATTGAAATCAATGCACAAACTGGCGAATGTGTTAGCAATTTCATTCCCGTGAAGATAGGCTGTAGAAAACTGGAGAGCTGGTCGTACAGATAAGATTTGAAGTATATGCTAACGACATTGATCTGGGTAATCTATCTCGTCACCACCATTTGAGGGATGATATCCAAGCCTCGTGCAGCGCAGATCAACAGAACAGCCCAGTAACTGAAAGAACGAGTTTAAAGTTGAACACACTGAGTGAGAGAAGATCAACCTAAGCATATCTCTTGGCAGTTGAGTGAGGGATGACTGGTGAAAACTTTACTTTTAATGCATATGCCGTTTAGAGGCCTAAGTTTGGATGCCCGTGGCTACGGCACACTTGGATCCAGATATCGACATAAAACATACTATTTAGAAATGGAATTTGATTGCTTCACAAAAGTAGTTTGTCTAGGAATACTTTTGCGTTTCACTTGTAGACATCATAAATAGGAACAAATAGAAAGGTTCCGCTCCGATCAATATCGAGTGGTGCGCCATGAATTTGATTTTACTAAGCACTGCAAAGGTAGTTGAGTGCATTTCTTACCAACGCAATGACTTATGGTGGTGCACCGATGTGTCAGTTCAGCGCTTTCACGTTTCCAGAAGAGTCTGATATGAATCTCACGACCTCGGAGAGATGGATGGCTTGATTTGCTGCTGTGCGAGATTGAACGAACCACCGTGTGTATTGCAGAGCACTTTTAAGCATTGCGCTTCAAATCCCAATATATGTATATAATATATATATAATAATTACATATAAATATACATAATACATAAAATATATAAATAAAAATATATAAATATATATATAGATAATATAATATAATCATATAAAACATATATAGATAATATATATAAAAATATAATATCTATAATATATAATGTATGTAATATAATATATACATATATATACATATAAATATATGTATATATATACATATATACATATACATATGTATATATACATATATACATATATACGTATATATACATATATACATGTATATAATATATACATATAATACAATAATATAATACATACATAATATAATACATATATATATATATATATACAATGAAACTAATGGGTCTCCTAAAAGAATGTCTTAGTTGTTCAATTTTTAGGTAGTCGGAAAAACTTTCGCACAAATTCTAGGGTTGGCCATGGGAAAGCGATTAGCACCAAACCTTGCCATCGCCTTTATGTCTAAACTGGAAGCTACAGTTCTCGATCACCGACCCTTCCTCTGCTGTCGATACATAGACGACTGCTTCATCGTCTGTTCCACACAAGAACAAATGGATTTACGCGAGAGAAAGCAACTGAGAACTGGTCTCCACTCTCAAATATCCAAATAATGCTTTCAGAAGTTGACTACATAACAAACAAAGTAGTAAAAATATACTGGTACACCACTTCTCCTCTCATCCTTCAAAAAGTAATCGTCAAAAATATGCACCGAACGACGAAAGATGTATGCACATGAGAATAGGAAAGGAAGGAATCGCAAAACTTGGCGCGAAAAATAGCTATTCCCTACGGCTACGAAGTAGTAGCCACTCAGGTCAAACCAAGAGGAAGGGTTGTTTCAAAGAGGTAAAGTGAAATAATTTTCCATACCTAAGTAAGATTCCTTTCAAGCCACCCTCCATATCAAACGAAATAACTTACAACATTAAGAGGTGCCTTAGGAAAATTGGTCTTGAAGGTTATGTGACGATTACTGACCTTCCACCCAATACCACACATTTAGTTCACAACCGGTCTCTATGATCGTTTGCGCAGCTTAGAAAACTGTATGATCTGTCCTAACGAGAGAGGCGGGGTTTCATGACTTCAGGTACAATACACTTTATCTCATGTAAAGCACACGGTGAAGAATGTACCTGGGAAACAGGTGGACCACTTTGTGCCCGCATAAAAGAATATGTGGGTGGAAAGCATAAAATTCCCTAATGTACTCCTATAGGTACAACTAGGGCACAAAAACATAGTGGTGATAATTTCAAAGTGACTGCTTGGATCTTAGAGCAGGAATAAAAACATCAACGTGCAAGACTCTTGAGGCCTTTTGGATAAAATTTCAGTCCAAAGGTGGACCGGAAAGATGAATGCCTCACTATCATGCGTGAAATGATGCCTTATATCGGAATGATTTTTTGATTCAAATCCCCATGGGTGAGTCTCACTCATCATCCCCCATGAACAAAAGAAAGGTGATACGATAAGTAAAAGGGTAAAGGATAAAGCACTCGGCGATGATCCATCTCTGAGGGAAGCACCATGCATTCGACTTCACTAAATATTGTTGGAGGTGAATGATTGCATATCTGGCCTTTACTCGCGGTGTCCTACCGATGTATTGCTTTTAACCTCCCAGACAATTCTGGTACCAATTTGCTGACCCCGTAGGGATGGAAGGTTTGATGAGCTATGGGTGCAAAGATCGATTCCACGTGTGCGTTGCAAGGCACCACCGACCCGGCGCCATACACACCCTCGCACGGTGAGCAGTTTTTGAAAAATTGATGATTATTTATAAACTGGGTTTTCATTAACTATAGATTTAGCTGAATTATGAGGCTATTTTTAAATACAATACGTCCAGACTCTGAGGAAGGCGAAGTTGTTGAAACGTCAGCCATCGAACAACAACAACAATAAGGACATCCATCTATAGCAGTCCCGCGTCAGGTAAGCAAAGGCAGTTCGCAAAAACATATATAGATATGTCGATTATTTACGTAGTTAAGTATATACATATACATACATATGTGTGTATTTGTATACTTGCATATTTGCTGATAATTTACAATCTACCGTTTCAAATTTGTCGTCGAACGACATATTTGCCCTGCAACTATCAAGATGGTGAAATGCCAGACGCTCGTCGTGCCATATTGAACTGCAATTAAATTTCCGCGGTGATTAAATTCAATGAGATCTCGAAAAGAAAAAAGAACGAAAGAAAAGGGTGAAATAAAAAACATGGCATACCAACGTCACTTCGTAATTTTATCTTTGTTTCTTCATTTTTTCTTGTTGCTTTCTTCAACTAATTTTCTTAAATAAGCTGCTGCTCAACACTTAGCGAACTTTCACGTGTGATTTTAAATCGTAAAAAAATAACGATGAAAATGATAAAGAGAAAGGAGAGAGAGAGAGAGAGAGAGAGGAAGAAAGGCGACAGAGTGGAACGCAGGGAGGGTGAGAATAGACAGAGAACGAAGTGGGACAGAAAGGGGAGGAAAGAAAAACATAAAGACGAAGAAAAAGAATGAGGGCGAAGAGACGGCAAGAGAAAGAGAGAGGAAGAGCGAAAGATAAAACAAATAAAACGAACCATCAAAAAAGATTGGAGACAGCTAGAGGTAAGGAACGCCCACAAGCAACGGTTATGTGAGAAGGTTCGTTCCTTATCAGGTACTTCCTCCCAACGGTTTACCACCTCATCGTGGCTGGAAGGTGTTCCTGGGTGTCGGACCGCAATGTACAGCGGGGATTCATCCCTTGGCAGGGTCTCCCAAGCTGAGAAAGAGTCCGGCGTTTCCGTCAGGAAGCCTAGCTAAGAGTAAACCAATAGCAGGATCCACCACCGCCCTGGTATCAAAGCCGCATGGTGGCAAATCTCTCTCTGATCCACAAGGGCTGCGACTGTCTGTTGTGGTGAAGACCTGGGGCAAACTTTAGCCAGGCTGACCTCGGAATTCCAGGGAACTATAATGGCTTAACCAGCAAATCTCCGAAAAATGGAGATTATGCTGGGGATCGCACAACCATTGAGGGCGGGTCATTCAAGTGTCAAGTATCAGGTACTTTGTCCTTCAGGACAAGTTGAAATGTAATGGCCAAACAATTGTGGAGGACTATCGGGCCAAACCATCTTTAATTAGATAGTCAAAGGATTTTTTCAAATATATCGCCATTAGATAAACAAATAATAAGTAACTATTAAGCAATGCTGTGTATTAATGACAGCAGAAAGAACAATGTGTTTTTCTATGCAGATTTTCGAGAACGAAAACTACTAGAGAGTTCAATGCAGCTATGTCAAACAGCAAGAAATATAGGCCTACCTAAACCAGACATCAGCTGAGAAGCTGTTGCTTAGTACAGAGAGCTCCATGATGTCCTGCACGGTGACCTCCACTTGCACGGGAACCGGCTGTGGAAGTGGGATTTCCGATCTGAACGGTAGACGCAGAGGTGGCTTTGCAATAAAACAAGGTGAAATAATGATGATTTTAAATAAATTCCAAGAATACTACTGATAAACATTTTTTTATTTTATATGACCCGTCTTCAGTTCTACTGTGCTGATTCCAGCACTTCTCACATTCCATTCGTTTCCTCGCATCCACTGTCCACAAAGACCTTTCAACTTCTTACGTATGGCTTCGGTTGCTGGTTGAGGATTTTCATTTCATTTTGAATGTCGTAGAATACTGGTCGAGCAATTCTGCCTGGAGTCCTGGGATGGACGGGATACGGCGCTCCTAATTGGATTGCAGAGGGTGATTTTTCCCAGACAGGTCCGGTGCCAATTTCCTGACCCCGGAGGGTTGAGAGGCTTAGTTGGCCCGGAACAGAATAGAACTAGCACCATGCTCGTGATCGAGTCAGCCATGGTGAGGTGCTAATTCACTAGAAGAGGGTTTACAACTGAAAGCAAAAGAAGATGTATAAAAGTGCACGAACGCAGAATTTAAAACTGAAAATAATTCTCTTAATCGCGAAGTGGGATCTCACAGAGGAACTGATTCGCAAGCCTTTGCGATACCAAATAAAAAAGTCCGAGAAGTCTCCAAATTAGAATTTTTAAAAAGAAAAGCTCTAGAATTTGTTCAGTATTCAATAAAATTCGTGCCAACAGATAAAAGGTGGCTTTCGAAGCCATACCAAACGCATGCCAGTATTTTGGGACTTGTTTTATTATTATGGTTGGAGAAAAAAGGGGAAAGGATGGCGCTTGAACGTTGGTCAACCTTAGAAGGATGAGCTATGCATTCGACTCCATATGTAATGCCATAGAAGTGACTTAAAGCATATTTTTTATCTTATACGACCCAGCTTCACATCTGGTATGCGTACTCCAGCATTTCACACATTCGATTCGTTTTCTCGCATTCATCGTCCACTAACTATTACGTGTGGCTTCGACTGTTACTTGAGGATTTTCATTTCACCTTGAATGTCACGGAATGCTGGTCAAGTCGATTCTCACTGCAGTCTTAAGATAATGGGACTAGAGCGTTTCCAGCTTGACTACAGAGAGTAGCTTTTCCCGAGCACGTCCGACGCTACTTTTCCGACCACAGAGAGATTGAGAGGCCCGGTGAGCTCGTGGCGTGATCGAACCAACACTGTGTTCGTCATGACCGGCACCACTATCACCATCCTATCCGCTTCTTTAATTCATATTTGGCCTCTACAATAACTTACGGTGGACTATCGACTTGTCAATTCAGTGCTGCTACTCTTCAAGACAAATTTGATAAGACGAGATGACAACAATTCGTCGACTTCGGTAAGATGGGGTACCTGCATTGAGCGTGGGATCGAACCAAGGACCCTGGGTAAATTGCAGAGCACCTCTAACCTTAGCAACACATCCGATACATGTTCCCATTCTAAGGTTACATTATTTCTAATCTTTCAAGAAAACCATATAAAAAGAAACAGAAGAATGAGAAACCTGCTATAATTCGCCATTAGTGTCTCTACTATTTCAGTTGTACTTAGGCCAGATTTTGAGCATTCTTTTGAAAATGAAGTCATCACTATCACAGAAAAAATAGCTGTCAAAGGCAGCATCGTCGAAAAACTGAAAAAGAAGCTTAATGAAAATACGGTACTTCTTGTTTCCTTTTACGACACAAGACTTTCAACGAAAAATATAACGACTCAGGAAAAGATTTGATAATCTCTGAAGTCATCAAAGCGTTGCGCCACCGTACAATGGCAGTTACGTTCAATTGACCAATATATCGGTTAAAAATAGCTGAAAATTGCTTATATCACTTTTGAATCCCATCATTTCCTTCTCCATCGGGTAATTTGAACAAAGACCACTAAAATAGTGTTGATCACTCTTCAATAGATTTTGACAAGGTCCTCTTCTTTCGCGGTGGTCTACCGATGTATTAAGTCAGTGTATTTTATTCTCCCGAACAATATCCAGTGTCAATTTTCATGAACCTTTATGGCTTGGTGAACATGGAGCGCATAATCGAAACAACGGCCGACGCTCTGTGTATTGCACCGCACCTATAATGACTGTGCTACACGCGTACCATAAACATATGATTACAAACTAGTTGTGGTATAAAATATCCAAAAAAATGTAAAATTTTTTTCCGCACTTTACTTAATTGGGTGCTGTTTTCCCTACTATGGCCTTTTCTTCTAGATATCCTGAGAAAGACGCGCTTAAGTGCTTTCAGTTCGCCATTAGGAGCAGTCGCCCGCACTTATGGAATGTTGGCTCTCTTGTGACAAGGCTCCTCGTGACAATCAAGTGAGTTATTCCAACATGAAGGCAAAGAAATGGACAATTCCGATGCCATGGCTTTCTTGAAGTATTCAGTAACAGCACAGTAGCCTTTACTGAATAGGAAATTACCGACCACGATGATTTTTCGAAAATTGTTGATAATTTTATGGAAAGTAGAGTGTATGAGGAACAGAAATTAAAGGACTCACTGAGAGACTTTGTTCTCTCCTAAAGCTGATAAGAGGCTGATAGCAAGATTCAGATTGTTTGAAATGTTAGCGCATTTGCAGCAGCAGCATCAGTGATGTATTCGAAACCAATCGCTTCCTGTTAGACGAAATGAAGCATTTAAAATAATCAAGACTTCAGTGGGGTTAGAAAGCTTGCACCTTGTTTGTAAAGATTTTTAGACTCCACTGAATTTTCTTTCATGTAAGAAAGTCCGTGATGAGTTCATATAGCTCTGCTTAAATGCGAAAGAGGCAATTACTTCGGGACAAGTATGCATCGAAATGGATGCATGTGGTTACAAAATGTGTTAAAATGCTGATGAATGGTATATTGGACCTAATATTTTTATATAGGCTATAAAACATGCTCTCTATCGTAATTACCTTGATATTGGTCTTTTATATTTTACTTGATAAGAGATGGGATGTTATTTAGCATTCATTTAGCTGATATTTCGGCGAACTCTTCCTTTTCAACAATAAAGATCTCATTTATTCTCATCCCATTCATCCAAGTGTTGCTATCGCCTTACGGTCTAACTCTATTCTTAAGTTACGGTCGAATATGACGCATTAGAAACCTAAAGTCGGCCTTCAGTGCGAAGTATAGGAATTATTTCGGAAAAATAAGCTGAAGCTCCGTGTGACTCGCTTAGAAATTGAAGAGGGTTAAATCCGACAAAGAGCGTAAGCCAAAGCCGAATCAATATTGCACAACTACCTCGGCTCGATTCGCAGTGCATTACAAGAAATATGCAATATGAGAAAAACATCGGAAGCAAGTATGTGGTTTTGGTTAGACTAACGCTTCAAAGTAAGCTAAGGTTCTTGTGAAACACTGGAAACTTTCCCTGACGCCAACCGATCTCGACAACTGAAAAGTCTAAGAGAGTGTCATGCTTGCTAGGGAAGTCGTAAACGTGTACGTGAATAAATAGCAGCTGCAGATTTTACGGTATTAAAAGATGTGGCTTTAAATAAAAGATGAAGAAGAACTAATGATAGCTTAAAGGTTTACAACCAGAAAGAATATTATCGCTAAAAAAAGCGACTCGAAAAAAGATGACATTTTCGCAAGATATAAAAAGCTAGTTATGCCGCCAATGACTTCATGATGATTTCACAAATTCGAGGCAGAAGCATCAAAGGGTAATTGAATTGACTGCGTCGATTGAGGCCGTTTGGGAGTGTGGGTGCGCCCGAATGCATTACTTATACTATTAGGTCGACTTTGCATCCTCAGAACGTCATCAGGTGAGTAGCAGTAACCTTCCCCACAAGCTTACTCGTGTATATGTGTGTAGCTGTGTGTGTGTGTATGTGTGTATGTGCTTGGGCGTGTGCATATATATTAGTAACCAAGTATTTAGGTGTGTGTCTGTCACGAGATGGTTGTGTTTGCGTTTGTGTATGTGTGCATGAACGTATTCATATTTAGGTGTTTATGTATATAAATACATATACATATATATACAAATGTATTTTCCCAAAAACCGAGTTCCATTTGGCCTTGCCATAAATAACCAATATTTCGTTTGATATACACATGCTTCAACACAATGGCTCAACACGGGATTGCTAAAAGGTTTCATTCGGCTAAGGTATCGAAACGTTTTACCAAGCTCCTGTTAGCGTAATAACCGAATGAAATTATATATATATATATATATATATAGATATATATATATGGATATCTGTGTAAGTTTGTGAAAAAGACGAGAAACTGCAAATGACGGAAGGTGTTTGAGCGAAAAGACTCCCCACCTCATCAACATCTCGTGTTGTGTGCACTGAGCATCACAAATCATAGTCAAGCATTCTTCCATACTAAATAAATCCATGTGAAATCATCCCGCCAATTAGTGGCTCCCTATTAATGGAAAACTACTCTAACATTAAACAGATGACACACGTCCTTGTGGACATGCAGTTCATTAGAAGGAAACTGTGAGCAGGGGAAGGTAACGAGAAGGTATGAAACGGAGGACAGCGAAGAAATGTACGCAGCACTCAGCACCAATCAGGTATTCGTTTTCCAGATCTTCGAAGAAAATCCCGTCTTCAAGACACAGCAGAATACTTCTCAAGACATAAACAACAATGAGCCTATCGCATAATAAGAACTGAGACGACAGGTGGACGAAATGAGCACCTAAGTGGATATCGAAAAGAAAAATCAAATGACATCGACGGAGTCCCCCAAAAAGATGGTGATCGACGTGCGCATTAGATGCGTCAACCAGCTATACTCACAACTGGAATCAACTTTCAGACTACGATTCTGTAGCCCAAATGAGAATGGAACCACTTTTGCAGAAGACTCTAAGAATCCATGAAACCAATGAAAGAAGTGTTGGGGTCCACGAGACACGTGAATATAACCTATCTAAACATCTAAATAAGAAAGGAATACCAATAATGCTACCTTTTACAGAAACATGATTGCAGAAAAAATAGGCGCGTGTGGCACAGTGGTTGGAGGCCCCTTGCAACCACAAGCGGAATCGATCCCCACGCCCACGGCCCACCAAGCTTTCCATCCCTCCGGGTTCGGAACATTGGTACCAGAGTTATCTGGGAGGATAGCAGCACTGGCTCGATACATCAGTGGGCCACCGCGAGTTATTGTAAAGGCCAGATATGCTTTCAATCACCTCCAAACGATGCTTAATGAAGTCGAATGCATCGCACATCCCTCAAGGATTGATTAACGCCGGGAGCTTTATCCTTTATTATTACCTCTAGAAAACTTGGTGACTTTACTAAAATAATTGAAACTGTGTTAGTTGGCCAGTGGATTAGGGAGTTGGTCGGATTGGTCTTTTGTCCGCCAACTGTACGTGGAATGCTCGACTTTGTGTGAATTCGCCACGCGGAACTTTACTCCGTAACTGTCTTGAACAACCTCGAGTTTGGATATAACAGTTTATAGCAAAGCAACAATAGCGATACAATAATAATGTGTGATATTTGACGATATGTAAGCTGGGTGAATAGGAGCTAGATTGAAATGGGAACAAGTACACTTGAAGGGAGCTAGGCGGACCCTGGAGTTGGAGCACTGATAAACAGACAGAACTAGACACTCGTCTCTAAGACCGCTGGAGCTCCTCCAATTTTGTCTGTAATGGGTGGGGTTTACAGAGGGAGTTAGAGATAGAGCTGATTCAAAGCATGACACGGTACATGGGGAGAAATACGTCAGATAAAACGGTATGCCAGAGAGAGGCTTGGTCAACATAGAACTTGATCAGATAGCGAGGAATAGCTCGTATAGAAAGGTTATATAAAAACAACGCCTTATCAAAAAGTCATGTGAAAGAAATGAAATAGCTTGTACAAAGGCTTCTACCGGAAGCACATGCGGAAACGGTCTAAGGACTTATCCATTATGAATGGATAAATTTAAGATAGTTATAAGCAAATAGTTAGTGTAGGAAACATGCGATATTATAGAGAATAGGAACTACTTAAGGAATACAACCACAAAGTTGCTGAGATATTTGCAAAACTCTGAATCGCAGGTGTCTATGGTCCGGAACATATATCTCAGCAACGTTGTGGTTGTATTTCGCTTAGTACCCTGCCGCGAAATTATAGTAAGCAGAAAATAAAAAGGTATAACATTGTGATTTCAACTACAGCCGCAGCTTAACTGGGTTCTATGCTGATTTGGGCGCCCCAGATCAATCCCGCTGACGGGTGATTGCTGTAGCAAAGATCGATAGAAATAGCTGAGAGACAGGCGAAACAAAGGACCTGCATGGTGTGGTAGTGAACGCGTTACTCCCCGGAAAGGACAATAGCGAGTTCGTTCCCCACCATAGACACCTGCGGTCCAGAGTTTTGCAAATATCTCAGCAACGTTGTGGTTGTATTTCGCTTAGTACCCTGCTGCGAAATTAT